GGTGAGCCTTTTGGTTTTTCTGTGTCTGTTGCGATAAATATTGTTTTAGAAATCATTTTAGAGAAAAAATGCACTTATTTACGTATATTTTCTTCGTCCTAACCTGAATGATATATATACGATTTATCAATAATTTTATCGAATATCTATAACATTTTATAACTACTTTTCGTATGATCAAGATTTTTCTTTTTGATCATTTCTCATTTGGTACCAAAACATCTTGGGGCTGTTTTCACTTGGTACAGAGCGGAAGTATTCGTTGTTAGATAGCGTAGGTACATGTAGCAACAACTCTTCACTAGTTATATTCAGCCTCGGCTATATCGAAATGGTTTTCAATAGTTTTTCGATGAAATATTCTTGAAAAAAAGTGTAAATCTATAATATAAAAGTACTGCATAATTTTAAGAATTTTGCAATTGTAGAAAGCGCAGATATGTTATGGAAGCATACAAATCGTCTTTCGGGAAATTTAGACTTTTTTAAGAATTTTGATAATTTTTCAAAGTCGCCGATAAAACGTAAACTATTATTAACTATTGCAGAAAGACAACAGAGTGTCTGAGGCCAAGAAGTGCACCATCACAACGTCATCACGTGACTTCTATTAATAGTAAAATATTCCTTAATAAAAAAGTTAATAGAACAACAATACCCCGGGGTTTGATAATTTCTTTGAGTAAATAATATAGTTAAAAACATCTCTTATGCTTAAAAAGTGTTGCTAGAATCCCACTGTCCGGTCGAGAAAGTAATTATTTCAGATATTCGCACGAATTACCCAATGTTTTGCATTTTATACATATAACCCGAGATATTTCTTCAAACAAAGTTTACCTGACGATTCTAACAGCACTTTCCAAGTATTATAGAACGCAAGCTTTCGGTATGTACAAATATTATGTTTTGAAGTATCCAGCTTAGTGTTGTTCTTTTGCATCATTGTTGTCACGAATGACAGGAAAGGCCAAACCGGGATATGTAAATAGCTGACTGCCTTCAATAGAGAATATAATCGATGAAAATGAAATAGCATACCTGTTTAACGAACTTTAACACATGAATCACACACAATATTCACGGTATTTACTTCTAAACCCCCTTTTACGTATCTTTTTACATGCCGTCTTAGCCAAATTCTCGTTACACAACATGATCAATTCTCAAGTTACTTGTTGAACAGATATGACGTCATCGGTCGGAGTTTTCAATTTAAGTGACAGATACAGCATAACAAAATAAAAACATTTTATTTCTCTTAATATTTGCAAGTTTCTATTCATTTTCAGGAGTTAAATTATATCTCTAAATAACAATATTGAGAAAACTTGTGTTCTTACATTGACGGCATCTTGCCTATTATGACGTCATATTGTATCACTGATTTAGTCAAGTCAGATTATCTAAGTGCTTCCTTAACACACCTGCGAATGGGGGACCATAAGAGAGTGAGGGAGCCATTTGGGAACATCTGTGACGGTTCCCGTTACAATTAGCACTAGCTCATTAATACTTTTGTCTCATTAAAACATTGATATCTGGAGATTTTATGAAAACATAACAATAAGCATGTTGACAGAACCTTAATTATTCGACCTTATTTATAGGAAAATGACTCATTTTATGAATTTATCAACTCTTTATTTAAAAAAAAAAACAGGGTTGGCAAAAAACTGGGAAATACTCATATTTCCCAGGACGGTGGGAAATACTGATAATTACTGGGAATTACTGGCATTTCGCGGGATATACTGGGAAATAAGAAATAGCTACATATTTCATTCATATTGACATGTAGTACACCTTATTGGCTAAAATATCTACCTGGTATCACTTCCCTGATTTAAAAATTTCTGGTTCCCATTTAATTCATTTTATTTAATCATGACACATTATATTCATTATACCAGTGTCATTTGATTCATGCTTGAGTCAGATGTTAATTAAACGTCCATGAAATGAACCCAAAGATCCCAATTGGGTTTTTATGTAACTAAAGTTTAGAAGGATCTTAGAAAAGATTATAACAAGTTTTTGTTTTTTTTTTTTTTTTGTTTTTTTTTTTTTTTTTTTTTTTTTTTTTTTTTTGGGGAGGGGGGGTCTTGGATTTATAACAAATAAACTTAATAATTTTACAAAACTGAAAAGAAACTTGAATTGGAAAACTTTTATACAGCCAGGGAGATGTTGCAGAATGCTTATGGTAATGGGACCTGGAGAAGTGATACATTCTGAATATGTTAAATTGCAATTTGAGACATATCCCATACGCAGCTAGGTTAAGGACGCCCATGAAATATTCGCCTTGTTATATTAAGGGAAAATGAATACAATTTTAATATTTTTTTTTAACAGCATTAGTTTTGATAAATGTGAATTATGGTGTTCGCACTTGTATGTATTGGGTCTCGCCAAAGCGACATCGCTTACATCAGCTGTTTGTCACGTGACAGGTTTAAAATTAGAACATATATGTACTACTACAAGGATCGTAAAAGTTCAACGATATACGGGAATCTTTCCGCTATAAAATTTATTCTGTTTTCTTTGAGACAAATTCCTTAACACGAAAAGTGCTGGGAGCAACTTCCTCATGCTCGGGAATTGTTTAAAATTTAGCCGTCTTTCTATAAACTCCAAACCAAAATGTAATACGCATTGTAATAATGTTACATTACGGAATAAATAAACAATGCACAACCAGCTCCCAGCACTTTTCAGAATAGTATGAATAATAGCTACAAGTGTTTAAAAATTCAGAATTTATCGTGAAGCGGATATCGTTGAACTTCTGGTATTTTCAAAAGGCTGGACCTGTCACTCTAGCACGTTACTGTACAAATGTGCTTCCTACGGCATTATATAAAGTCTACACATTATCAAATTATTTTGGCAATAAAATGTGGATTAATATATTTCAGAATATGTCTCTCATTTGGTCCGACTACGTGTGTTTTGTATTTATTTTTATTTTTACACGCTACGATAAAAGCTTGATCCACGCCTCGAGTACAGAGAAACTGCGTGTCAAACTAAGAAATGACGTCATCTCAGTAAGTACAGCGAGATCAAGTTGACTTTCATTCTACATACGCTAAGTGCTATTATGGCAAGATAAGTTACATATCCATTTATCTTTATAATATTTATGAGGAACGAAAGTATTTAGTATGTTTTAAAAAGAACAAATAGTATTTATTCATCGAGAATCATTTGTATTGTTTTAACGTGACGTCATAATAGCTTTCCCGAACCTCTGCATAGGCTGACGTATATATGGGAGTCCTTAACCTAGCTGCGTATTATTCATCTTCTCTTTTTATGTTTATTTTATTTTAAATTTTGCATAAGATTGAATGAATTAGAGAAATAAAAAAAACTTTTATATCTTTGTATGTCCCAGTATTTCCCAATATTTCCCAGTTTAGGGAAAATTTGTAGTATTTTGTCGAGACGGAAAATACCGGTAATTCCCACCACTAGTATTTCCCGGCCAACCCTGAATCAACCCAGTCAAACAAATCCCTGGAATAGTCACAGTCTGGTCAATTTGAAGCCATCAGTTTCAAATTGAAACGATAAATGAGAATATTCAAACCTAAATTGCTATTGTCCCTCATGGAAATAAGATTTTAAAATATTTAGAGACTTACATTAACTTAATTCTGATCCAAAGAATTGCCGTTACAAGATTGATCACTGTTGGTTGCCTTGATCTTTTTCATTTAGCTATGAATCCCAAAATTGAAGTGAGCTCAAAATTTTATTTTTTCCTCATTTTTTTCTTCTACACATAGAACATTAAAAAAATCTTTGTACTAATAAATCGAAATTAATGCATAAAAATAATATGAGCGAATTTAGATAAAGTAGTTCCTTTGGTAGTGAAGATGAAATGTTTACAGTTCACGTTTTAGACAAACTGACAGATGTGGAAGAACATTTAGAAAGAACTACGCACGCTAACTCTCGATTCCCGCCTACATTTTAAACCCATTTAATTCAATACTAATGGCAATTTGGCCGTAAAATTTTTGTTGAATGCAAAGAACAGTTCAATGGTAATTGACTGATAATTTTAATACCAGTGTTAAATAGTTAATTATCCCTAATGTTAGCTCTTTAGATAATGGGGGTAGACGATATTTTCCATTGAAATCGGGCTTTAAAGCATCACCACATTTTAAAATATTCTTGGATATGAATAGATGTTCCTTAAATTTTTTCTTATGTTTTACGCATATAAAATTAAGCATGTATTATTAATACAATACAATGTTTTAATTGTAAACCCCTTTCAAATTGGTGAAAAAATAAGTATTTTTTAGTTTTTTGTCTGTAGACATATGTTCCCCCCCGTGAAACACAAAAAGCTTTGGTATGAATTTGTGAAATGACAGTCCATATAACCTGGAAAAATGGAATTTTTGTTTCACGGGGGGGGGGGGGGGGAGATGTTTTAAAAATATTTTCCGTTTTCCGTTGATTTCTATAGTGAAAAACACTAGTTTTACCAAAATTATCGAGTTATCTCTCTTTGTTTTCCCAAAAAAGTAATGTTTTATGAAAATTCATATAAATATCTATATAATTATGAAAAATCATTTAAATGTGTTAACTTTTGAAAATTAGCATGGAGGTAGGCGGGAGAACAATACTATCGTTTGCAGTTCTTCCCACCGACGATCAGTCTAGGTGAGGTAGAACATGATCATTCCGACTTGGATTAAAATAGCACAAAACTGTTCAACATTATCAAATATCCATTGACCTTTCTGATTATTGTTGTCAAGTTGGTCCTTGGGAGATACTAGAATTTTAAATAAGAGTCCTTAACAAACACTTTGAGATAATTCACGGTCAGAAGTCGTGGGAATGAACACAAAATCGTCAAAGATACTCAAATAGATAATCTTTTCAATCGGTATAAAATCACAATTACATGTTGTACAGGACAGAAGTGTAGCTTGTCGCCTTTTTCAGATTCATATTGGTAGTGGAACAACATGAATGTACACTTACTTATCTTTAGTGTATTCATACTCGGGGTAAAGGGACTTCTAATTAACCTAAACCAGACTCATCATCCAAGTGTTTCAGAGAGATTAGATGCACTGGAAAAGCAACTAGCAGAGGAGAAGAGGCAAAGGTATCTGCTTCAAATGAAATACGATCAAGAAATCGAATACATGAATTCAACAGACCAAAAACTGCTCCAAGTTTACAAAACAGCTCTGAAACAATTCCAAGATATTTCAATCCAAATTAAGGGTGCTTCGTTGAGCATTAATAAACAAGACCACAGGCACAGTCTGGAAATACAAGAAATGCTAGGAAAACTGAGAGAAGTACAGACATCATTGAGTGCTTTTGCCTCAAACCAGTTTGAAATAGCCAACCTTCATCGACATTTCCAAGAAAACGAAAATGTTTTGACTAGCATGTTAGACATTCTTAAACATAATGAAACTACAAATAACGAGGCATTAATCAAAATGAAGTCAAATCTATCCAGTCTCGCAAACAGCATAAGGACATTAGAATATACCGTGAATGCAAACACAGATAAACAGATCCGCTTACAAACAGAGCTCTAGGGTATGTTATAACGGATCTTTCTATCAAATACAATTGTGAAGGCTCACATATAATTATTTGGCGAATTTGATAGTGAAAATAGAATTAAAATAAAGATTTTTTTAAACTATTTGGCGGATTTCCATTTTAAATTTAATAATCTATATAAAATCTCTGTCAAAAAGGTTATGGAAATGCTGGTGCGTTATTTTTTTTAGGCGGATTTCTTTGATTGAAAAAGCAAGTATTCTTAAAAAAAAAAAAAAAAAAAAAAAAAAAAAAAAAAAAAAAAAGAAACATCAGAGATACTCAAGGTGTAGAAAGTCAACTAAGAATTAGGTTGATAAATATCCTAACATGACATAAGGTGTAGGTTATTGAGTTCCAGCATCTTGTGTTGAATAAATATTTACATGTATTTTGTTTCTTAGTACACGGGCCTTTGCAACATATGTACCATCTATCTTTCCAATGATAGAATCTTCCGTACAAATCCAAAACAGACATATCAAGACCCAGTCATCATGGATTATCGAAAATAGCTAGTGTTTTAAACAAACAAAACTTTAGGCCTATCGTGGATAGAATTTTACATTTGTGTAGATCTTTGTAGAAAATGTGAACGAAAGGTTAACCTGTGTCACCTTTCAAAGTAACCAATGAACTCGTCCATGGATGCATTGACTGTTGTTGTAAAATTTACCTGAGAATCCTACGCAAACGAAAACGCGAAATCTCTGTATAGAAATTGTTGCGGCTGCGGAGCATCACTCATCATTCCTTTGTCATAGAATATAATACGACAATTAACACTCAATGTCTTTCATATTTCAAGATAAGGTTCATTTTTGTTTCTAGAAATATTTTAATTTACACGAAATAATATATTTTCATGTTTTTAAACTGAGTAAATTGATGACCTAGCATCGTTTTAGATAACTCAAGCCCCTCTAGGGCTTGAGTAAAAATTGCAACGTGCCAAATTTTCTCGATACACGATATATACCATGGTTGTCATAGAAAAACGCGAATATATAAAAAATATTTTTGTTTCACTGATGTTATAAAGTAAAAAAAAAAAACATGCACAATAATCAACATTTTGTTTTGAATGCTACATATGAATTTTGATAAAATATCTCTATAAATAACATTTTTCTTCCAGTAAACCTGATCTTACAGCACCGACGACATAAAAAAAATTTGTTACTGGCGTTTGTGACGTTTAGAAATTGTACTTCTTTGCTATCGAATTTAAGAATGTCGTTAGAGGCAGAAATTGGATGAAACATTTGATTTTTAGTTAGTAACCAAGTATATCAGTCTCGGACATTCTAGCATCATCGAAAGATCCAATATAAACCAATGTCCTTCAAACGTTTCCATCTCTTTCCGGAATGGACAGAAGTCTTTCCTCGTTTTTGACGTAAGCCTTTGTGACGTAGGCAACCCAGGTCATACGATATATATTCTAATGTTTTTATTCAATCAAATGACGTGTTAAAACCAAAAATAAATTATTTAATGATAATTTGGTGTTCTGCATTATTCCCCGACTTGGTCATTTTTAACAATGTTAATTTTAAAGCAATGCTTTTGTACATATAACATCATATAATTATCATTTATAATGTTAATCTAATGCATTTTCATACATTAGTAGCAAAGATCGTAGAGTCATAGAATCCATGTATTTTTTATCATAATATGTTAACGTTTTATCCAGTAACAAAAAATCTATGATATAATCCAAAATATCTGACGTTTTCCAGGCGTTTTTCACAGTTTTGATATTTGACGTGCCAGGAAAAGGGCAGAATTGGCGCCATTATGAAAAGTGGAAATTCACCGCCGCCCTCCGGAGGCGGCATTCTCGGGTCAATTTTATACATGCGAACCGAATTAAATATCTAACTCACATTTTATCAACAGTAAAATGCTTCTAGTACTCACCAATATCACTTTTTTTCCCTTTTTATATATTTTTATATTTTTAATATAAAATGTCTCGTGAAAACATTTTATCAAACTGTCGAGATTGTGCCGATTTCCTGCATTTTGAAATCTCGTGAGACCTGTTTCGAAATGTGGAGTGATAGTTTTTTAAGCGATATTGGTTAGAACTATAATATTGTGCTATTGATAATTTGTGAGTTTAACATTTAATTCGATTTGCAGATATTTTGGACTACTTTGAAAGTGCTTTTCTTAAAAATTTTAAAAAAGTGCTTTGCGCCGACCACCTATTTTTGAAACTCTTTACATGTCGTTTTCATAGGCAAAATGAAACTAAATCTTCAAAGTATTAAGGAGGAACAGGACCTTGAGCTGAAAAAAATCTAGTCAATTAATTTTTTTTTCATATTTTGATTATTTTAATTTAGTATTTCCTACATATCTTAAAGCAATTCTGTCATCAGATTTCTTGAATTGTTTAAGAGATATCGCCATACAAATATCGCTCCGTACAGTGCCTGTATTAAATTTTGGTTCTTCGTGTTTTTCGGGTCCATTATTGAGTCTATAATGGAAATTTTTAAGCACAAACAAAAATATGTATAAGGACATGCAGTCCTTCAAATATTCAGAATATAAATAGTGTTTAGAATTCGTACGGCATTTTTTTTTTCACATTTCACAATGTATATGGACTAGATAAATTACACACTTTTCAAGACGGCTTCAACGACAAAAAACGCACTTCGGAAAGAATTCTGTCAATGAATATTTTTAAAATTTAAGATTGAATCGAAGTCCTTCTTCCTAGTAATTATTTGTAGCGATATCTTAAGGTGAAGCTTACCTCATTATCACACAAGACATAGTTGAACAATACATAAAAGCGCTTCATGCTTACATTTTCCGAGTACGGGAAAACAACTGTGACGACACACGAAAACTTACACAAGCGAAATGGAATATTAATTCAGATAATCTCTGCTACCAAATACGTAAAAATTATTATTCTAATTATTGTAATTCCTGCTTTAAAAAAATCATCACGATGCATTGACTGTGTTCTGTTTTAATGTAATAAAACTGACCAGATTATCTCACTGATCTCACTGAACTGAGAGATCATATATGACGTCATGGACTTGTAAGACTGCAGCGTAAAGAAACAGAGGGGTTATGGTGGCATATTTCTGCCCCCTACACACAAGATAAATTATGTTAACATGCGAGAAAAGTATGTCAACATGCAAGATAATTATGTCTATATGCATAATAATTGTGTTGACATGCAAGTTACCAATTTTTTTTAGAGAATCTAATTATCTCGCATGTTAACATAATTATCTTGCATGCTGACATAAATAAGTCGCATGTCTACATAATTATCTTGCAGGTTAACATAAATAAGTCGCATGTCCACCTAATTCTGTAACATCTTGCTTGTATGATGTCATATAATGGCGTAAGTAAGAAAGTTTACCAACATTAAAACTAGATTCTCTAGAGAGATTGGTAACTTGCAAGTCAACATAATTATTTTGCATGTTGACATAAATAAGTCGCATGTCTACATTATTATGTTGCATGTTAACATAATTTATCTTGCATGTTGGGGGCAGAAATATGCCACCATAAGGGGTGGATCAATCGATTTCACATTTTTTTTTTAATATTTACATGATCGTTTAAAATTCTTAAATATTTTGCATAAAATGTTTAAGCTTAACGAATTGAACAACAAATATACAAATACAGGAGATTATAACAACGTTTTACACCTACATTAACGGTGACTATGACGTAGTCAATTGAGTCATGTGACATGTGTCCTGTCTCCCCTTAAGTTAAAATTAAAACAAAATATCATTTCCCAACATTGTGCAAAAATGAATAATTTTAGACAGGTAATCGTTTCGTTCCTCCTTTTCAGGATTCAAAATCATTTAAGTAATGTTGTGAAGTTTGATTTATATATGTATCCAATGTAAAGAATAAAATTAAGTGAAATAATAATAATATTATATCAAATAAATGAATTAAACAGAATATCATATTAAATGTACTCAGTACATCGGTCGAAGAAATGCTTATCTACTGTAAGTTTATCCGTCTATGATTAAACTTTAACAACAGATTTTGCCGATCAATATATAGATTCTCATTTGCAAATTGTAATTTACTTTCGTTAACCGAAGTCAGAAGTCTTTAATCATAGTTTTACGAATCGTAACACTAATTTATCAGATAAACTACTTTTGACATTTGTTAGTTATAGATTTAGGTCGTAAACTGCAGTTAATTGTTTTTTATACTCGTAAACTATTTATAGCGAGATTTGTTTAGCGAGGTGCTACTTTCGGCGTATTTTTGCTGTTTGGTAAAGTTGGCTAAAATTTCAATCACTTAATTTGCAAACTTCCATGTATGTAGTGAATACAAGAAAAATTACTTTTATCAGTCCGTTATTAACATAATATCTCTCTGAACTCTCGGGATAATTAGTATTCAAACGTACAACACTCTTCTGGAAAACATATCTATATATCTAAGGTACCTAAAGCACTATTTTAGTAAGTGTTACCAAATTATGTTATTGGTTTGTAATTTCATGGAACCCAGTCTCGCCAAAAATAGGTGCCGCAAAAAAATGATTGGCATGCCTTTGAGCAAACAAAACCCCAAAAATTTACAACAGCTAAACAAACCAGCTATACGGTACATCTAACAGACGTAAAATAAAATTAATGATCTCTGGAGATGAATTGATTCATAGTTTATTGTCCTGAACTATAATTCATACTCTTCAACTATAGTTAAGAGCTGATACGTATAGTTAGTGAATCTAAACATGAATCTACACACCCGTTATCACAGTTTTCAATTCAAAAGCTCTCGGAACCAATTGCGAACGACAATACAAAATTTATGTCATTTCCGAAAGTTATCTCTCTCTCTCTCTCTCTCTCTCTCTCTCTCTCTCTCTCTCTCTCTCTCTCTCTCTCTATATATATATATATATATATATATATATATATATATATATATATATATATATATATATATT